AACATACTCCTCGTGGGACAACCAGGTCTCAGTAAGACAAAGTAAATCAATATCATAATCTGATATTAATTCATTCACTAAAACAGCTTTAGAGGACAGAGACCTGATATTTAACAGCCCACATTTCATTCTCTTATTTTGTGCTACTGAGGAGTTGGTTTTAATTTTTATTAGATTTTTATGTTGAACTCCTCTTGTTTTTATTTCTTTAAATAATTTAGGTGGTCGGGGGACAGACACAGTCTCTATGGGGTTTTGGGTGGGTGACTGTTCTAAAGAAAGCGCAGAGGAGTGTGTAAGACAGCAGCTCTGCTTCCTGGTCCTAACTCTGGACTGTCAGGTTTTAGAAATAAACTTTGCCATATTTCTAGATAAGAGAGCCGCTCCATCCAAAGTGGGATGGATGCCGTCTCTCCTAATCAGACCAGGTTTTCCCCAAAAGGCTTCCAGTTATCAATGAAGCCCACATCGTTTGCTGGACACCACCTCGACAGCCAGCGGTGGAATGACGACATGCGGCTATACATGTCATCACTGGTCACATTGGGGAGGGGTCCAGAGAAAACTACGGAGTCCGACATTGTCTTAGCATAGTTACACACCGACTCCACATTAATCTTAGTGACCTCCGATTGGCGTAAACGGGTGTCGTTACCGCCGACGTGGATAACAATCTTACTGTATTTACGTTTATCTTTAGCCAGCAGTTTTAAATTTGATTCAATGTCGCCCGCTCTGGCCCCAGGGATACATTTAACTATGGCCGCTGGCTTCACTAACTTCACGTTTCTGACTATGGAGCTGCCAATAACCAGAGTTGGTTCCTCAGCGGGTGAATCGCTGAGTGGGGAAAATGTATTAGAAACGTGAATGGGTTGGTGGTGAACTGTGGGCTTCGGTGTTTTAGTCTTCCTTCGCTCAGTCACCCAGACTCCCTGTCTGCCCGGCTGCTCGGGAACTACCGGAGGAACCACTACCGGAGGAACTACTCGAGGAACTACGGAGGAACTACCGGAGGAACTACCGGAACTACCGGGGTAACTACCGGAGGAACTACCGGGGTAACTACCGGAGGAACTACTCGAGGAACTACCGGAGGAACTACCGGAGGAACTACCGGAGGAACTACCGGGGTAACTACCGGAGGAACTACCGGAGGAACTACTCGAGGAACTACCGGAGGAACTACCGGGGGAACTACCGGAGGAACTACCGGAGGAACTACCGGAGGAACTACCGGAGGAACTACAGGAACTACCGGAGGAACTACCGAGGAACTACCGGAGGAACTACCGGAGGAACTACTCGAGGAACTACCGGAGGAACTACCGGGGAACTACCGGAGGAACTACCGGAGGAACTACCGGAGGAACTACCGGGGGCTGGCTAACTATAGCGGCTAAAGATATCTCCGTGGTGCGGTGCCGTTCCTCTAACTCACTAAGCCTCGCCTCCAGCGCAGTAAATAAACTACATTTAATACAAGAACCATTATCATTAAAGGAGGCAGAGGAATAACTGAACATCTGACACACTGAGCAGGACAGAGGAGAGGGAGAAGCTAACTGCTAATGCTAATGAAGCTAGCGTGTATGAAAAACTTTGAAAGTCGCTAAAAGAAGGAGAGCTAATGCTATGCTACATTACAGAGAGCTAATGCTATGCTACATTACAGAGAGCTAATGCTATGCTATGAGTCAGAGTGCTAATGCTATGCTACATTACAGAGAGCTAATGCTATGCTACATTACAGAGAGCTAATGCTATGCTATGAGTCAGAGTTCTAATGCTATGCTACATTACAGAGAGCTAATGCTATGCTACATTACAGAGAGCTAATGCTATGCTATGAGTCAGAGTGCTAATTCTATGCTACATTACAGAGAGCTAATGCTACGCTACGAGTCAGAGTGCTAATGCTATGCTACATTACAGAGAGCTAATGCTATGCTACATTACAGAGAGCTAATGCTACGCTACATTACAGAGAGCTAAAGCTACGCTACATTACAGTGAGCTAATGCTACGCTACAAGACAGCTAATGCTACGCTACGAGACAGAGCTAATGCTACACTACATTACAGAGAGCTAATGCTACGCTACATTACAGAGAGCTAATGCTACGCTACATTACAGAGAGCTAATGCTACGCTACATTACAGAGAGCTAATGCTACGCTACATTACAGTGAGCTAATGCTATGCTACGAGGCAGCTAATGCTACGCTACGAGACAGAGAGCTAATGCTACACTACATTACAGAGAGCTAATGCTACGCTACATTACAGAGAGCTAATGCTACGCTACGAGTCAGAGAGCTAATGCTACGCTACATTACAGAGAGCTAATGCTACGCTACGAGTCAGAGAGCTAATGCTACGCTACATTACAGAGAGCTAATGCTACGCTACATTACAGAGAGCTAATGCTACGCTACATTACAGAGAGCTAATGCTACGCTACATTACAGAGAGCTAATGCTACGCTACATTACAGAGAGCTAATGCTACGCACATTACAGAGAGCCATGCTACAAAGCTTCATAAAATATATTCGTTATTGTCTGACAGTTGAAATAAAGATTTTTTATTTATTCTTTGTGTTAATTAATTTATTTTATTTATTTGTTGAAGTTATTTTTTTGCCTTTATTTGACAGAGAAAGCTGAAGAACAGGAAGGGGGGGTGTAGAGAGAGGGGATGCAGCAAAGGGCCACAGGTCGGATTCGAACCCGGGCCGCTGCAGCAGCTTCGTATACGGGTCACCAGCTCTACCGACTGAGCTAACCAGGCGCCCAATGAACTTATTTTTATGGATGATTTAAACCACAAGGTGACCTTTAATGTAAAATCCAGAGCTGAAGAGGTTCACAGTGAATTATTCAGTGTAGATTCTTCTTGTTCTATGAAGGTTTTAAATGTGGAGCTCAACATTGCTCTGCCACAGTCAATGGACTAAACCACTGAAGAAGAAAACAGCCTTTAGCATTCAGATACTCAGTGTGGATCAGTATAATATCAGCCTTATGTCTGCACTTTACTGTCAGCACAACTTAACATCACATTCATCTCAGCACAGAAAGAAAACATGGTGTCTGACCTCAGAGTCTCCAGTCTACAGTGTGGACTCTCCAGAAAACCACACAGCAGCTTCACTCCTGAATCCTGCAGCTTGTTGTTACTCAGGTCCAGCTCTCTCAGATGGGAGGGGTTGGACTTCAGAGCTGAGACCAGAGAAGAACAGCTGATCTCTGACAAACTGCAGAGACTCAATCTGAATAAAG